ACTTCAAAGCAACATGAAAAAAACATGAAAACAACTTTAATTTGGCCAGAGCACACCCAATCTTCATATAAATTATATTTTCATATCCACGTTATATTTTCCTACCAAGTTCAAATCAACTCACAAAAAATTAAATAAAAAATAAAACGATCACTAGATTCAATAAGACTCACAAATTTGAAATGAGATTTCCCAATGAAGAACGGTGGCGCCCATATCGGCCGGCCGCTTGCGAGCATCCCATCCACAGACTCAAGATCTCGATCTTCCAGCCGATGGTTTCGTACTTCCGTATCGTCGGTCGTGAGTACTTTGCGAATGCGTCCGCTGTACCGGCAACATTCTTACAGGGATTGAAGAAGCAACGCAAGTCTAGATCTAGATTCGGATAGGTGTACTGGGCTTCAGGCGTCGTACCATGATTGGGATGTGGATTTTATGAAAAATTATTAGAAAATCATATTAGAAAAAATCTATTTCACACAAAAGAAAAAAAAAAGGAGAAGAAGAAGGAAAATCAATAGCGCAATTTTGAAAAAAAAAAAAATTAAAATCATGAATAGAAAAAAAATATAAGAAAAAATGGAAGATAAGAAAAAGAGAAGAAGAAGAAGAAGAAGAAGAAAGCAACTTCGTGGAGAGAGAAGGATAAAGGAGAGAAAAAAACCAATCAGTTATCAATTCAAAAAAGAACTTCTAAAAAATGTGTTATTAGAAACAAAAGAGGTAATTTTGTCTAAATAATAGGTTGGGATAATTATCTAAACTGTTTAAACAAATAGATAGTAGGTGTCATTAATTCATATATGTGTTGTAATATAGACTAGTACGTACCCCGTGCGATGCACGGGACAGAATATTAAATGAGTTATTTTTACAGTCTTTTCCATTTAAGTCTAAAAAGTAATAGTGTTATTATCTATTTTCTATATTTTTTAATCAACGTTAAGTCTAAAAAACAATAAGTTATAAGTTTTTTTTTCACATCTTTTAAACATCGTTGTTTTTTAGCCATAACATTAAATATAAGCATGTTAGGGATAACTTGTAAAATAATTAATATATTATCTCACTAAAACATTTATACTAATGAAAATTTAATTTAGCATATAAATTTATCACTTGATATAAGAGAAAGTAACAGTTTTACTTATTCTTGTTCACCATATAATATTTAATTATTATTTTATTATATAATAAAAAGGAATATTGTTAAATAGCAAGGAAATAAATAACTCGCTAAAGTTGCCGCTATTTGAGAAATAGCTTTTTTTGGCCGTGTGCCGCTATTTGTATTCATGTGCAATTTAGCCGCTAAATCCCGCTAAATCTCCGCTATAGCTCCGCTATAGCTACAGTGCCATAAACGTTTTAGCCCGCTATTTAAAACCTTGTTAAATAGTGTTGTAGAATGTTATAAAAATACATGAATAAATTTATTTTATTTTTACAATATTGATTTAATATCTTTTTGTGATTTGATAATATATATAATATATTCTTAATGATATAATGATTTATTTTAGTATAGCTATAATGCTGGTTGCAAATAATAATAAAAAAAACTATTAGATGCTATAAGATAAAGGTTTCCTCGTTATGATAAGGTTTTTTATCCATCATGTTCTTCTACACATCTATTAGATTAGATGCAGTCAGTATTCTGCTATAGGATAAAGGTTTCTCGGAGCGAGATGCATATCACATGCCATCTAAACTTTTTGATATTTTTTAGTTTGTTACATTGAATTATCGCAAATTTAACCGTGTGAATTGATTTACAACATACACTACATTCAAATCTACAACATACTCTACATTCAATTAAGACTGCTTTACATTTGCTAATGATTTATAAAGTTTGATTATTAACATGACCAAACATTTTGCTTATTGATTTATAAAGTTTGATTATTATTTTGACCAAACAGAAAAGATGAACTTGTTGGATCAATGTTGTTAATCTAAACAAACACAAAAGTTTCTCATATTATTTTTTCAGCCTTTATCAGTTTGTAACGTTTTATCAGTGTAGGAAACATTTTCATCATTTTTTATTTATTCCACGATTTGTTGATTAATTATAGCTTTGAACAATCTATGAAAATTATTTAGCCGTCTTCAGACAAATATGTATCTATGTGTTCGTGTCTCACAAGTCACAAACATAATGAATAACATTACAAATTATTCATTCAAACTTTTATTCATTGCAAATATATTGAAATAGTGTATATAACAACCATTGAATACCACTTTCAATATATTGAAAAATAAAAAGTACATAAAATTTCTGGTGTGTTCAAATTTAAATAAATAAAATTTTTGGTGTGTTCAAATTTAAATAATCTTTTATGGGCTCAATTTTAAATCATTAAGATATTTGGTCAAACGCATATGTGTATTCAAATTTAAATCATTGGCATTTTGTTAGGTTGAAATTTATATCATCTACCATGGTACTGTGATGTGTATAATATATATATATTTATATACACAATTTTTAACAAATAATATGTGCTTTTTAAAAATAATAATAATAATTTCAATATTTTAAATGTAAAATCGGGTTTTTAATCACAATAGAAAAAATATGGTAAGTCGTATTGAAAATGCGTTATGTGATAAAACAATTAAATAAAATAAAATACTTGATGAAAATAGAATGCATTAATTACTTTTTGACTTTTCTTACTACTAATTCTAGTAAATAGAATGATTTTTTATATAAGTATAGATAATAAAAGCGATTTTAGGAAATTATGTGCAATTAATACTTGTTTTGTTAATGGAGCCACAAAAATCACTATGTATGTTCCATACATAGCGGATATTAGGAAATTGGTATGTACGTTCATTATCGGAAATCATCGCGTGAAAAAATAATTTTTATTCTATTCCATACAAAAATTAATGTTAATCGGGGATAATTAAGAGTGATTTTATGAAATTATGTTAAATTACTATTTATAGGCAGTAATTAATGTTTTTGGCGGGAAATAGTTTATAATAATTAATTAAGTTAATCCTTATTATATATTAATATATTGTCAATATGTAAGATAGACAAAGAGAGAAAGTAGTAGAAGAGAAAGAGAGAGAATAGATACACCGTAAAATCATAATCTTATTCATTCACTTGAGCCATATATATAAGTGAATACAATGTACATGAGTAAAGACCTAATGGGCTCCTGGCCCATACCTACAAATCCTATATCTAGGTAATGTCCACAAATTAATATTTACAACACTCCCCCTTGGACATTACCGCATCATGTCTATGCCTTGTTGAAAACCTCGCTGCAAAACCCTGTAGAAAAAAGCAGTCGAGGAAAAGAGTACATAACATATGCAAATTTATGTATTACACATGCTGCCTCGTTAAAAACCTCACTAAGTAAAACTCAATGGGAAAAAAAATTAGTCAAGGAAAAAGAGTACAACACCGGCCAACAGGGCCTAATTTTCAGGATTATAATTAACCTTCCGGGCTCGATCTTTGAGATTTATTTATCGCTCCCCCGAAGAAAAAACCTTTTCAGTTACATTTATAATTGTATGTTGCTCCCCCTCAAGGTAAGAGTTTCTAACATAATATCATAATTTGTTGCTCTTCCGGAGTTAATATAGATTCAAAAGTATCATCAAATGTATTTCTATAATTTATTTGTGTAACACAAACTAAGTTATCATCAGGATAAATATGGGGAAATTTCAATAACCAATGGTAAAGAGTTAATACCATTTGAGAGGTATATAACCAATTGAGGACCCATATTTCGGGGATCAACTATACAATTGATGTCCTTATCCGCCAATATCATATATCAAGTCCAAAGATAACTCAACATATATGAAGAATAATGGGATATTCTCAATATTTATCACGACATCTCTCTAAGGAGAGATTTAGTAAATCTTGCCAGCAAATTCATCACAAATGCAGTATCAGGCTTGATGCAGTTTGCGTGATAAAAGTTCTGCACAATTACGCTTAGTAAATAAACTTCAGGTCGTTTGTGAACTTCAAGTCCATTGGAACTTCAGGTCCTATAATATCCTCATTTGTTTCTTTGGATCTTTATCAACTTCCAAATATTTGACACTCATTTAATGTTACAATTTTACATCGCTAAAAGAGATTCAAGTAGATTGGTTGGGTCAAAAATATTTCTTCTAGCAGATGCTCGATCTACAAGTCGAGATAATACTCTTTGGTATTTAACCAAAAGTTTCATTCTTACTCCGTCTATAAGCATGAGCTAACTTCTTTGATCTTTTACATAGTGTTCACCACATAACCTATTTGACCGAGATTATAATTATACACAAGGTTCTACCTTGAATAACTTACTTTACTTCTTCAAGAAGAATTTAGTTGGTTGTACCACATCTTACCAACATTTTAAATAATTAAACTACTTATTATTTCATTATCTTTCATCTCGGGTATTCGAGTCCATCCAGGACTTTCACATATGACTCAATAGTCATGGTAATATTGTTGCCATAAATATTAACTTGCAGAATCATTGATAATGAAGGAACTTATCTAAATAAATATTTGGGTCTCTGCATAAACCCATGAGCATAATCTCGATATATTTACATCACACAACCACATCACATGTTTCATATAAATATTCATTATCCTTCTGGGACATGTTATCCTTCTGGGATATATCTTGTAGCGAGTGAAAGCTCTGCCTCAATTTTCCTTTCTATCTCAATCAACCTAAGTGATTCTGGCACTTTCATTATTTGGATTCGGGTCATTATTTGAGATAGTAAAGAAATCACATAGGCAAGTATGTTGTCGACAACTATTATATTCAATTTATATTTTCTCTCAACCATTTGCTAGCCATATTTATAATCATTTCCCGTAACATCTAATTTTGGTCGTTCCGCATTTTTAGTACTATAATAGTTTGATGCACGTGCAAGATGTACTAGATCAACTCTTCGGGAGTTTCTTATAATGTAGTGTTAATTCTTGAATATACATTTTCCGCGGATTTTCATACATCTTATTAGTTATATCACCTTATGCTTCAAGCATTGAGGAATTAATCATTCCCTAAAAAATTTGCTTACTTTGTGGTACATCTATATATTTACAAATCGGTCACTCCATTATTACTATATATTTCGCTTGACAGAAATATAATATGAACTTCAAGTTGAATATTTATTGCGTGGTCTCCAATAATGAAAACATTAATATTTCGCATATTTCACGGCATTAATAAACTTATGATCATATCTCCCCCTAATACCGTGAAAACATCTTCATATATTATGTAAAACACGTACCAAATAATAAATCGATCCCCTATAATGGCCTCTAGTTATTAAAAATTCGCCGAAGTATAAAAATCATAGCATTACCTAGTTTGTAATATAGGACAATAAAG